AAGTTCGACATAATGAAAAAAAAACCTATCCCAAAATACTTCGCACTCACACATTAAGATCAACATTTACGTTCATTATTAACCAAATTAACAATTCTTGCAACTAATCAATAAAACCTGGTGACCACACAGAAGGATGTTAGTCGGTTGAGATCTCGTATAAATCTCACGTCTGTTGGTTCTCAAAACACTCACTCTGCAGTTAGATATATCGTTTATCCACAATCTATTGTTAAGAGCTATGCACAGCGGATGTATGTACATGTATTCCTTCGAAGACGACCTGGGTTTGAGAGTTATTCAAGAAATGAATAATCACGCAACTTGATTAATTACTTTAGAAAGCGTTGCTAGGATATCAACATTCATTTTATTTTATTATTAAAGCGTGGGAGTCGTCACCTGCGCATGCGTCAGTTGGCCATAGCATGTAATTGTTTACAAACAAGCGTCTACCCATGAGGCTTTGCGTTTTTAGCGTATGTTGTTATCGTCGCTTGGGATTCCCGCGCGTGCGCACGTGACGACCCTCCCGCTTTAAGTTTGTAACCATGAAACACCACACTAGGATTTGAAGAAACTTGAACTTCTGCAGAATTAGTTGTGCATGATTTTGGCAAATTCACGAATTCTCCATTTGCTGCTCACAGATGAATGACTGGAAAAAACTGAATTACTTTTTAAGGTGTCTGCGTACAATATTAATGATTTGGTATTGATTATGGCTTAAACATTAAATTGGGGATTCTGCTATAAAATGTTATAGTAGGCTACAGCTAGCACAAATTGGCCCACAACAATTGAAAAGAATATGGATCCCAATTATAAATATATAAATTTCCATATGTAAATAAGTGGCACGGATCTAGAAGCCGTACCTACACACGAATTGGTGACGTCACAAAATACATGACCTTCAATCGACGGCGTTTCCTCGGTATATACGAATTGGTATATACAAATTACAATAAAGATACTTAAGACATTACACATAAGGTAAAACAAATTATGTGACAATATAATTATAATAACGGTAATAAATCCTAGCTTAACAGTTGAACAGAACGCTCATATAGTCAGTCGGGTCACGCCGAGGGTCACGCACTCTGTTCCAAAATGACCGTGTCGTTGAAACTGGGTCATGGCGTGACGGGTGAGAAAGAGATCATGAAACACTCTCAAAATCACAATAAAACGGGGAAGTGGTTGCATATTACGGCGTAGCCAACATGGGAAATTAAAAAACGCCCAATACAAACGACATGGGTGCGAATCACATTAGATACACACTCACCAGAACCGAAGCAATCAGAAACCAGCAATCGTTTTGGCTTTTCCGTTCAACTCATCGGAACACTGGAGTAGTTAGAAAAATGAATACTACTTAACGACCAACGTCGTGGCGTGGTACACAAGCGTGCAATCAAAATAAAACAAAAATAGCTTGAAAAGACAGTGGGTTCGAGTCCCGCTCAGAGCTACCGTAAAAACGTAAATCAAATGAACTGAAATCTCTCAAACCGTAAACAAGTAAACAAATAATAAACCATACAAAACTCCACCATATAAAACTGAAAGAATAAATAATAAAGTAACTTACGTCTTAAACTGGTTTTGTTAAAGTGTGGATGGCCGCGTTCCCTATATTACGAAAACAACTCAGGCAACAGACGAATATCTTCTGTGGTGTTGTGGAATTTATACTGTGTCTACGGAATTGTTGATTGATGGTTCGAAGCCAGCAGTTAACATTTTGTTAGAAAGTTTCACAATTAAATCAAATATCCAATGATACCAGTATATTTATTTCATTATTTTAACAACTTTCAATAGTAGAAGTTGGTCAAACACGAGTTCTTACACCTAAATAAGTATCAAATATTTGTCGACACATTTATTCTCTCAATTTAACAACCTTGTAGAGGTGGAAATTAATGAAACAACAGGTATTTACTCATAAATATAATGGTCAATATTTGTCCAATTTAAGAACTTGTAATTGTTTGAATTAATCAAATGAGAGTTGTCTACACCAAAATAAGTTCCAAATACTTGTCCACACATTTATTCTCCCACTTTAATAATTTGTAATTTGTGTGAAGTAAATTAAATGCGACTTTTCTAAACCAAAATAAGTCTAAAATATTTGTCCACACATTTAGTCTCTCAATTTGACAACTTGTAATTATGAGAATTAATCAAACGCGAGTTGTTTACACCAAAATAAGTCTCAAATATTAGTCCATACATTTATTCTCTCAATTTAACAACTTGTAATGGTGTAAAATAATTAAACGAGAACTGTCTACACCAAAATAAGTCTAAAATATTTGTCCACACATTTAGTCTCTCAATTTAACAACTTGTAATTGTGGGAATTAATCAAACGCGAGTTGTTTACACCAAAATAAGTCTCAAATATTAGTCCATACATTTATTCTCTCAATTTAACAACTTGTAATGGTGTAAAATAATTAAACGAGAGCTGTCTACATCAAAATAAGTCTAAAATATTTGTCCGCACATTTATTCTCTCAATTTAACAACTTGTAATGGTGTAAAATAATTAAACGAGAGCTGTCTACACCAAAATAAGTCTAAAATATTTGTCTGCACATTTATTCTCTCAATTTAACAACTTGTAATGGTGTAAAATAATTAAACGAGAGCTGTCTACACCAAAATAAGTCTAAAATATTTGTCCGCACATTTATTCTCTCAATTTAACAACATGTAATTGTGGGAATTAATCAAACGAGAGATGTCTACACAAAAATAAGTCTAAAATATTTGTCCGCACATTTATTCTTTCAATTTAACAACCTGTAATTGTGGGAATTAATCAAACGTGAGTTGTTTACATCAAACTAAGTATTAAATATTTGTTGAGACATTTATTCTGTCAATTTAACAACCTATAATGGTGTAAAATAATTAAACGAGAGTTGTCTACACCAAAATTAATCTCAAATATTTGTCCACATATTTTTTGTCACAATTTAACCACTTGTTAATAGTGGAAATTACTTAAACGCGACTTGTTTAATCAGTTGACATCAATGCAACTTACCCGCAGACAGTGCACAACAGAGTATTATTATTGAGCAATTATAAACAGGAACGTGTCTTGGCATTAGGGTTAGGGTCGGATCAGGTATGGGCAACGGAATTATTAACAGGAACGTGTTTTGGCATTAGGGTTAGGGTCGGGTCAGGTATGGGCAACGCAAATGGCAAACACCCAATTGGCAAGATGTACACTAACGGGTTATGGCATGCATATAGTTTACACAAGTAAAAACTCAAAAT